GGACAGGAGAGAGACATAGAGCACAGCTGGGTTTAGTTTTCCATATTAATGCAGGGAAAAGAACATAAACAGGGACATGGAACCAGGCGTGAATCACACGAATCCATCCTGAGCTGGCTCCTTATCTGCCCAAGAGTGCCAAACTACAACTCCCATAGGTTCCACGGCGGTTGAACTTGAACTGCCCTGGCTTGATGGTATGGTGTCCTGGGATTTGTAGTTTTGTAAGTGCTAAACTATAACTCCCATAGGTTCCATAACAGTTGAACTTCAACTGCCCTGGCTCAATGCTATGGCGTCCTGGGAGTTGTAGTTTTACAAGGTCTTGGGCCTTATCTGCCCAAGAGTGCCAAACTATAACTCCCATAGGTTCCATAACAGTTGAACTTGAACTGCCCTGGCTCAATGTTATGGCATCCTGGGAGTTGTAGTTTTACCAAGTCTTGAGCCTTATCTGCCCAAGAGTGCCAAACTATAACTCCCATAGGTTCCATAGCAGTTGAACTTGAACTGGCCTGGCTCAATGCTATGGCGTCCTGGGAGTTGTAGTTTTACAAGGCCTTGGGCCTTATCTGCCCAAAAGTGCCAAACTATAACTCTCATAGGTTCCATAGCAGTTGAACTTGAACTGGCCTGGCTCAATGCTATAGTGTCCTGAGAGTTGTAGTTTTGCAAGGTCTTGAGCCTTATCTGCCCAAGAGTGCCAAACTATAACTCCCATAGGTTCCATAACAGTTGAACTTGAACTGCCCTGGCTCAATGCTATGGCGTCCAGGGAGTTGTAGTTTTGCAAGGTCTTGGGCCTTATCTGCCCAAGAGTGTCAAACTATAACTCTCATAGGTTCCATAGCCCTGGCTCAATGCTGTGGTGTCCTGAGAGTTGTAGTTTTGCAAGGTCTTGGGCCTTATGTGCCCAAGAGTGCCAAACTACAACTCCCATGGCAATTCAAGTAGGGCCAAACTGTATTAAATAAATAGTGTAGATGCACCCTGAGTTTTCTTGCCTTGTTTTCTTCAGCATTCTAAAATCTCTGCTGTCTACACAATGTCATTTCTGCTCGTTTCCATCCAAAGTGCAACAAAGAGGAAAATCCCCTATGGAGCAGACCCTGTGCCATGGGGAGGCAAATAACCCATTGAAAAAGCAAAGTGAAAGGAACCGGATCCTGTCTGACCCGATGTTGATGCACTAAATCACAACAACTGCTTCCTGACGCACGAGTCTTCATTCTCATGGATTATTAATCCTTGGGTGGTCTTGTTATGGTTTCCAAACGAAGAAACAAAACACAAACAATGAGAAAAAAATACTACAACCAGATCATTGCTTCATTGCAAAAGATAGCTCAAACACTAAGAAAATGATGCTTTTTGCTCAGTGTCTACAAGTCCATCAACTATCTATATTCATCTATCCTATCCTATCCTATACACCTATTAAAGGGGAAAATGTGTATGTGTGTATGTGTGTATGTGGCAAAGGTGTCCACTTACACAGGCAGCCTCCCGTCTCCACAAATAGCCTATAATACCCACTACGCAGGAGACACCCATGGCCCTCCCTCCAAGGACATTTCAGGTTACAGCGAGCCGCCATGAATATGTCTCCCAACCCCTGCCAGTGTCCTCCCCAAAACCATACTGCCCACCACACAAGGAATACTTTCATTTGGGGACAATTTCATCCTAGATGTTCTGATCTCCAGAATGGACATCCCAGGGTTCCTTTCTCTCTCCATTGGTGTGGAATTTCCATGACCCTGCCCACTGCCTCTCTCTTAACCCTTTTCTACCCTTTCCTATGGCACACAAAAAACAGAGGAATTGATGAGCAACTGAACAAGTGATTGGGGGAGAATTCACCACCACCACCATCATCATCATTTAATAACTTATTAATTGCCCTCCATCCAAGAATGCTCTAGGCGATTTACAGCTAAATTATAAAAGATAAAATACAAAAAATTAAAAATTAACAGAGATTGAATGCTTTAGTAAAAAGCCAGGTCTTAAGTGCGAGAGTAAAAGGCCCTAAGTCACGCATGGCTCTCATGTAGGGCGGCAAGGAATTCCACAAGGCAGGGGCAGAAATAGAAAAAGCCCTGCGCCTGGTCCTTTCCAAGTGCATTTCTCTAGGAGCCAGTATATAGAGTAAGTCACGCTGGGCTGGTCGTTGCGACCTCTGATGATGGGAGAAGGAGAGGCGGTCCATAAGGTACGATGGACCCTGGCCGTAAAGAGTTTTAAAGGTCAGAACTAGCATCTTATACAGGCCACGGTACTCGGTTGGAAGCCAATGTAAATGATGCAGCACTGGTGTTATTTGGCATCTCATGGGTGTTCTTGTGAGTAACCTGGCTGCTGCATTCTGAACAATACGAAGCTTTTGGGTCGTAGACATCGGAAGGCCCACATACAGGGCATTGCAATAGTCCAGCCTAGACATGACCGTGGCATGGGTGACAGTTGCCAGAGCCTCGTCAGATAGGTAGGGTGCCAGTTGCCTTGCTTGTCGTAGATGGAAAAAGGCCTGTTTGTTGGCAGCAGCGACCTGAGCTTCCATTGTCAGCTGCGAATCCAGGATGACACCTAAGCTCTTAACAATGGTCGATGGAGATCGGGCGGCACCATCGAAGGTGGGTAATGGAGGAGTCAGACCTGCCGGGCGGCCATGCCAGAGAATCTCAGTCTTCGCCAGGTTCACCTTCAGTCTGCTAGCACGAAGCCAGTTTGACAGAGCTTCCAGACATAGGGTGAAATTGTCTGGAATTGACGTTGCTCCAGGCTCCAGGCGCACAAGGAGTTGGGTATCGTCTGCATATTGGTAGCAGTCCAGGCCTAAACTCCGAGCCAAACTAGCAAGGGGTCTAACGTAGATGTTGTAGAGGAGAGGAGAGAGAATTGCACCTTGGGGGACTCCACATAGGAGGGGGGATCTATCGGAGACTTGATCCATGTACTCCACGCGTTGACTCCGGTTCCGGAGAAATGCGTTGAACTGACCACGAACTCCGGACATGGCAAGACAGTGAATCAACCATGATTTATAGAAGTTGTAGTTCACCTACATCAAGATCACCAACCAATGATGAATCTGAACCACACTTGCCATGGATGATGGGATTTGTAGTACCTTCACTCACTTCCAGACACTACTCCAATCTCCACAAATGACAGACCTGGACCAAACCTGGCACTCAGACTCCCACCATGGCCAACAAAATATACTGGAGACGTTTGGGGGAAATTGACCTTGATGGGAGTTATAGTTCACCTGCATCCCGGGAAACTGTGACTCACACCAACAATGAACCAGAACCACACTTGCCACAGAGAAGCCCCATGACCAATGGAGAATACTGCAGGGGTTTGGGCAATGGACGTTATCCAGAAAGCACCGAACCCAGCCGATGTCAGATTTGGACCAAACTTGCATACAGGTGGGGTTTGTGGGGTGAATGACCTTGGCTCTGGGAGTTGTAGTACAGCCTTATCCAGAGAGCATTGAACCCAGCCAACGATGGCTCCGAAGCACACTTGGCACACAGACCCAACATGGCCAACTGTGTATACTCCTGGGGTTTGGGAGTGAATGACCTTGAATTTGGGAGTTGTAGTTCACCTACATCAAGAGAGCACTGAACGCAGATGACGTTGGATCTGGACCAAACTTGGTGCACAGATGCAACATGGCCAGCTGTGCACACTGCCGGGGTTTGGGAGTGAAAGACCTTGGATCTGGGAGTTGTAGTTCACCTGCATCAATAGAGCACTGAATGCAGACGATGTTGGATCTGGACTAAACTTGGCACACAGATGCAACATGGCCAACTGTGCATACTGCCCGGGTTTGGGAATGAAAGACCTTGGATCTGGGAGTTGTAGTAAACCCTTATCCAGAGAGTATTGAAGCCAGCCAACGATGGCTCTAAAGTACACTTGGCACACAGATGCAACATGGCCAACTGTGCATACTGCCCGGGTTTGGGAATGAAAGACCTTGGATCTGGGAGTTGTAGTAAACCCTTATCCAGAGAGTACTGAACCCAGCCAACGATGGCTCTAAAGTACACTTGGCACACAGACTCAACATGATCAACTGTGCATACTGCTGGGGTTTAGGAGTCAATGACCTTGGATCTGGGAGTTGTAGTTCACCTGCATCAAGAGAGCACTGAATGCAGACAATGTTGGATCTGGACCAGACTTGGTGCACAGATGCAACATGGCCAACTGTGCACACTGCCGGTGTTTGGGTGTGAAAGACTTTGGACCTGGGAGTTATAGTTCACCCGTATCAATAGAGCACTGAACGCAGACAATGTTGGATCTGGACCAAACTTGGCACACAGATATAACATGGCCAACTGCGAATACTGTCATGGTTTGGGAGTGATTGCCCTGCGAATCTGGGAATTGTAGTTCACCCTTATCTAGAGAACACTGAACCCAGCCAATGACACATCTGGACCAAACTTCAGTGATATTTCCTAATATCCCAAAACAAACAATGCCTTCTTCTAATAACCCAGGCACTGCCAGGTCCCCAAGCTAGTGTAGAATAAACACACTTTGATGCCACTTTAATTACCATGGCTCAGTGCTATGGGATCCTGGGAGGTGTAGTTCAATGAGGCACCAGTACTTAGATTTTGCAAATCTACAACTCCCAGGATTCAAACCATGAGGAGAGGTGGGTAAGAAATAGAAGTATTATTATTATTATTATTATTATTATTATTTTACAACATCGGGCCATGGGAGTTAAAGTGGTATCAAACTGCATTAGCCCTGAAATGTAGATGCACCTTCAGACTGATGCATCCAAAATCCATAATCAAAGGAGACATCCCTTTCCTCTTAAAAGCTGTCAATCGGCGACTTGCTTGTTAAGGCGAATTTTATTTCATTTTAATTGCATTGCAAGGAGCGTGCCACCTTTCGGTGTTTACCCCTGTTGCAGCGAGCCTGGAAAAGTTAATTGAGTTTTCGCCACCCACCTCCTTTCGATCAATACCGGCGTCCCGGTTGGCTGCCATCCCCAAATATTAATCTCCGTGGCAACTGGGATGATTGGCAGGTGGAGGAAAGAGACTTGGCACCTTTCAGTCTGTTTGCTTGGCAGGTCTGTGGTCCAACCTTGGCAGAGGCCCAAATTGGCAACCCTAATAATGATTATGCAACCAAGCAACAGCGACCACTGGTATGTGCCATCCAGCCTCATTCACTGCTTGGAGCATTCTGAAGTTCAGACAAAAACCAGGAGCAGGTTTATTGATCCCCCACCTCAGCAGACTGAAAGTCAAAACCAAGGTTACAACAACATCTGTTATAGAACGCCAATATGCTGATGACAACGTCGTCTGTGCACATTCCGAAGAAGACCTACAAGACACTCTAAACACCTTTGCAGAAGCATACGAGAAGCTCGGCCTCTCATTGAACATCAAGAAAACCAAAGTGCTCTTCCAGCAGGCACCAGCCAATCCCTTTCAATGCCAGAAATACAGCTTAATGGTGTAACATTAGAAATGTTGACCATTTCCGCTACCTTGGCAGCAACAAAACTCAACATTGACACTGGAATACAACACCGCCTGAGCTCTGCAAGTGCAGCATTTTTTCGAATGAAGCAGAGAGTGTTTGAGGACCAGGATATAGGGATACCAAGGTGCTTCTTTATAAAGCTATTGTCCTCCCAACCCTGCTATATTGGGCAGCGTGAGCCAGCCAAAGGCAGCTGCTCCACATGGCCTACTTGCGCATAAAGCACCTTGCGAGGTGCTTTACACGCGAGTAGGCCGTGCGATGCTGCTCCTCCCTTGGCAGGCTCACGCTACCTATCGGGCCCGATGGGCAGCGTGAGCCAGCCAAGGGAGGCTGCCCCGGCGCTCCATGCAGTCATGCCGGCCACATGACCTTGGAGGTGTCTACGGACAACGCCGGCTCTTCGACTTAGAAATGCAGATGAGCACCACACCCCAGAGTCAGACACGACTGGACTTCATGTCAGAGGAAAACCTTTAACTAGGAAAATTGTGGAAGATCCAGGGTGGGAGAAAGAACTCTTGTCTGTTGGAGGTAGGTATGAATGTTTCAATTGGCCACCTTGATTACCATTTCATAGCCTGACAGTTTTTAGGGAGAATCCTTTGTTGAGAGGTGATTAGCTGGCCCTGATTGTTTCTTGTCTGGAGTTCCCCTGTGTTTGAGTGTTGTTCTTTATTTACAGTTATAATTTTAGAGTTTTTTTAATACTGGTAGCCAGATTTTGTTCAGACTAGAAATAGGAAGATTTCCCATTCTCTGCTCCTGGAATTACTGCCTAAAGAGGGCTAGAAAGAACCCCCTCTAAGGGCCCTTCCACACAGCAAAATAAGATATGTGCAATGTGCATAGGAATTTTTTATTGATTTTTTTTAAAAACTATAGTCCGACCCTCCAACGGTCTGAGGGACAGTGAACTAGCCCCCGGTTTAAAAAGTCTGAGGACCCTGACTTAGAATAACCCTAACCCTAACCCTTCCTTCACCAACTGCTAGGCCTACCACCACTAGCTACCATCAACTGCAGTACATGATACATGACAATTTTTGATTTTTTTCACAAACTTTTTTTTAAAAAACCAACCTACAGGAGGGTTGCTATAAATTCCAGAAGCATTCTCTCCTGACGTTTCACCCACAACTATAGCAGACACCCTCAGAGGTTGTGAGGTCTCTTGGAAACTAGGAAAATGGGGTTTATATATCTGTGGAATGATGTCCAGGGTGGGAGAAAGATCTCTTGTCTCAGGCCTGTAGCTGGGAGGGGGGGGGGTTGAGGGCTTCAGCTCCCCCCCCCCCCGAAATTCTCAGGGTGGTCCGCAAGAAGGACTTACTAGTACATTATTTAAATTGTTACGATCCGATCACCATGCTCAATATATCCCAATTGCATGGGGATATTGGGATAATGATTCAAAAGGTTTGCTAGGGTAGATCCTGAGTCGTCGTCCCCCCCGAATCAAACTCACCCCCCCCCCCCCGAATTAAAATGGTGGGAGAAAGAACTCTTGTCAGTTGGAGGTAGTTGTGACTCCTGCAATTGGCCACCTTGATTAGCATTTAGCAGTTTAAAGGTCTGGCTTTTTAACACCTGGGGGAATCCTTTGTTGGGAGGTGATTACCTGGCCCTGATTTGATTAGATGTTTTCCTCTGCTGTTTTGCTGTTTTAATTTTAGAGTTTTTTAAATACTGGTAGCCAGATTTTGTTCATTTTCATGGTTTCTCCTTTCTGTTGAAATTGTCCACATGCTTCTTGTGGATTTCAATGGCTTCTCGGCGTAGTCTGACATGTTGTCACATGGTCCAGCATTTCTGTGTTCTTAATCTTACAAACCTTCTCTCCCAAAGGGTGCTGGTGCTCCACCAAACTGCAACTTCCATGATTCCATAGCACGGAGCCAAGGTGGTTCATATAGGAGGGTGAAACTGCATTGATTCTGCAGTGTAGAACGCATCCTGATAGGTTGGCACGGCGTGACTTTGGATGCCCAGAAGAGCAGACAAGATGGGCATAAGATGCACGGTAATCCAATTGCGGGGCCATCAACGTGTGTGTGTACGTTTGCAGAGAGATGCCCGAAGGGGAGAAAAACTCCTTGGGAAATTACCTCCGAGATAACGATATTATTTGCTTCTCTCCAGACATCGGTGGTCTGGCTGGGACTGGACACTAACACTAGTGGACCATCAGCTAAGGATTATATGACAGTGTAAACTCTTGCAGTTCAAATCAGATCAGAAACTGGATTTTATGGATTTTATGGCTGTATAGATTCAGCCTAAATGAAGATGTCCTAGAAAGTTTGAAGCTGTCTGGTCTTAGGGTCGAGTTGAATTTCTTCGGCTGCATCTACACTGTGCCATAAATGCAGGTTAACATCAATGCTATGCAACCCTGAGAGCTATAGTCCTCTTGAGAAGGCAGGAGACCTTGGAAAACTAGGACTCCCAGGATGCCATTGCAAAGTGGTGGCAAAACTGCATTCATGGTGCAATGTAGACACACCCGAAGAACTGGGTTGTTGTAGGTTTTTCGGGCTATATGGCCATGTTCTAGAAGCATTCTCTCCTGACGTTTCACCTGCATCTATGGCAGGCATCCTCAGAGGTTGTGACCTTGATCTCTGCTATTGGGTCATATTGGGTCATTTGGGGGGGGGATGTTAAGGCTTCCCGTTCAATGCTAAGGCTTCCCGCCAAAATGGTACTATAGAGGAGAGTCTACTGAACAAGCCAGTACCTGCCGCATACCTGTACTGCCATCTGTTGAGGAGTTACAAAGGTAGAGGCATTACTTTTCATTCAACCCTCGTATGTTGAATTGGGTTGTTGTAAATTTTCTGGCCTGTATGGCCATGTTCCAGAAGCATTCTCTCCTGACGTTTCGCCTCCATCTGTGGCAGGCATCCTCAGAGGTTGTGACCTTGATCTCTGCTATAGGGTCATATTGGGTCATGGGGGGGGGGGATGACGGAATCTGTTATCTAATATGTAAAAAAGTGAATAAAATAAAAATACATAAGTGAATACATGAAAGTAAATAAATAAATATAAATATAAAACCAATCAATACATAGAAATAACAGCAAGGAAAGATATAAATAATAAAAGTAAATAAAAACATATAAATAAATGTAAATAATAAATAAACATAGCAATAATAGTAAGCAAAAAAAATGAAAACACATAAAAATATGTCCCTCAATTCAAGGGTCAGAAGCCCTTTATTCCGATTGTGTTAGGGCTTATCTATCCTGTGGAATTAATGCAGTTTGAGACAGCTGTAATGGCCATGACTCCATGCTAGGATATTTCCCAAGGTCTTGGGCCTTCTCAGGTGAACTACAACAAAGAACTACCACCTCACCTGCCTCATAGGAAACCTGCTACAAAACAGGAGCTTTTTTGTTGAGTTCCAGGGCCAGAGAAGCAGATGGCGGAAACAGAAGAACGGCCTGCCTCAGGGGAACGTGCTTGCTCCATCCATGTTCAACATCTACACAAATGACCAGCCACTGCCAGAAGGGACAGAGAGTTTCATCTATGCTGATGATCGTGCCATTACTGCTCAAGCAGGGAGCTTTGAGATGGTTGAACAGAAGCTCTCCGAAGCTCTAGGTGCTCTTACTGCCTATTACAGGGAAAACCAACTGATCCCTAATCCATCTAAAACACAGACATGTGCCTTTCACCTTAAGAACAGACAAGCATCCCGAGCTCTGAGGATTACCTGGGAAGGAATCCCACTGGAGCATTGCAACGCACCCAAATACCTGGGAGTCACTCTGGACCGTGCTCTGACCTACAAGAAGCACTGCCTGAACATCAAGCAAAAAGTGGGTGCTAGAAACAATATCATACGAAAGCTGACTGGCACAACCTGGGGATCACAGCCAGACACAGTGAAGACATCTGCCCTTGTGCTATGCTACTCTGCTGCTGAGTACGCATGCCCAGTGTGGAACACATCTCACCATGCTAAAACAGTGGAATGTGGCACAGGGTGTCTGTGTCCTACACCACTGTTTAGCTGGCATTGCACCACCTGACATCTGCCGGAAAGTAGCAGCCAATAGTGAAAGGACCAAGGCAGTGACATCTCCAGCTCATCCCTTGTTTGGGTATCAGCCAGCATGTCAACGACTTATATCAAGAAATAGTTTTCTTAGATCTACAGAGACACTCGCTGGAACACCTCAGCAAGCGAGAGTCCAAAAGTGGCAGGCTAAAACCCAGCACCTCAATCCGTGGGTGATACCAGATGAGAGACTCCCCCCTGGGCACACAGAAGACTGGGCGACCTGGAAGGCACTCAACAGACTGCGCTCTGGCACCACGAGATGCAGAGCCAATCTTAAGAAATGCGAGTGTGGAGAGGAGCAAACCACTGACCACCTGCTGCAATGCAACCTGAGCCCTGCCCCATGCACAATGGAGGACCTTCTTGCGGCAACACCAGAGGCACTCCAAGTGGCCAGATACTGGCCAAAGG